TGCTTTTAAAAGACAAAAAAGATGGCTGTATATACATATATAAACGTAAATATATATTTTGCTTAGAAAAAGTCGTGTAAAAGTTATTTGCCCTCCATTGTCCTTTCGGGAAAATATTTTTTTTCTTTCTTTCTGGGTAGTGGAGAATGCCCCATTCTTCACCCCAAGGAAAATCTGCTTGCATTTTACATCTGTATCCAAACGACCTTCTCCAAATGAGAAATTTCAAACTTTTCTCCATCAAGAAATTCCAGAACCATCAACGCATCCCCTCTTCCAAAACTGGTTTTGCAACTAGTGCAATGCAATGCAAAACGGAACAAGGAAAATGACAATTGCAAGAAGGAAAATCCCACCCCAAATTGTCTCTCTCTCCCTCCAGATCCCAATGTGCTCCAAGGAGCTCTAACCAAGGAATCTTCCAACCCGCTCCCACCTCCCTGGAAAAGATTTCTCTTTGGTACTTTGGGTCCCCAATTCTGTTTTTAAGAAAAAGATGAGTAGATCCAAAAAATCTCACTGCTAAATTAGGAAAAGCATTTGCAACAGGAATGGATGACATAGATCAACAGTCATAGATGAGCCAGAGGGGGAAAAAAGAATAAAATAGGGAAGTCGATTTGTTGGATAAAAATAAACTCGATGAAGAATATTTATAGCTCAGGGTTGAAATGAAGGTGTCCATAGTAGTCTCTGAGCTTGGTTGTTTTCTTGCAGATGTTTTGTGATCCAGCTAGGCAACATCATCAGTGCTAATAGGGAAGAGGGTTTGCGAGGAGGAGGAGGAGACAACAACTGTGGGGTCTTTGGTGGTCTTTGAGTTTGTTGGTTTTCTTGCAGACATTTCATGACCCAACTAGGCAACATCATCAATGCCAGAAAGGAGTGGGGTTTGCTGTTTATATACAAGTGGTTTGCCACTACCAACTCAATAATCACAGACAATAATCACAGTAAACTAAAGCCCAATCAAGGAATCAACAAGAAGAAAACAACACTCCCACAGACACTGACAGGGCAGGCCACTTGTACATAAACAGAGAGCAAACTCCCTTCCATCACTGATGATGTTACCTAGTTGGTCCACGAGATGTCTGCCAGGAAACCGCCAAGCTCAGAGAGCCCCAAGGACCCCTCCAAGAGCTCTTCTGGAGGAAACACCCCCCCCCCCCCCCGGCACATCTCAGACCTCAAGTTGCGGCAAAGGGACACAAAGGGGTGTGCGACCATCTCGGTCTGCAATTCACTTTAAAAAAAAATTATCATCGTTACTATTGTCAGCGCTGCGCACCGGCCCCTTTCTGGAATACGGCTGCAGATCAATTTAAAAAAAACCCCACCAGTAAAACAACCAATGACGAAATTGTCAAAAAATAAATACATAAAAGCTCATCCTGCCCACCCACCCCGCCTCCCGAAACATGCCGGGCTCTCGGAAGTCCGCACCACTGTCCAGAACGCTGCGAGGATTAAAACGGCTGGGTCCCGTCAAAGGCATCAGCAAAAGGCGGCGGGGGGGGGGGGGTGTACCCCTGCCTGGAGACCCACCAGTCCAGAGGTTCACAGGGTCCTTGCATGGGGGTGGGGGGGGATGGCCGCCAGCTGCCTCGGTGTCCGAGTCCTGCTGCTCAGCAGCCTGGCTCCTCATCTGAGTGCCATCTGAGGTGAACTGAAGTCCCGTTCAGGGCTTAGCTGGTCTCTTGACATTCTGCTTCTGCCCGGTGTGGCTGGTCGCGACTCTCTCTGGCATCCTCATCCTCCATGGCCATTTCCAGCAGTAAAGAAGGAAGCGAGACAACCTGTGCCCCAGTACCCTCCTCCATTGGTTCCAGCATGCCGCTCAGGTCCATATCCTGGATCTCCACGTCATAAAGGGGGGCGACCCGAGAGGCCACGTTACTCTCACACTCGATGCAGGCCTGAAGCGGGAGAGGAAGACATTGATAAGTCATTAAGTTTAGGGTGGGTTTACCTCACGGTCCTCTCCAAATGGGGAAGCCCATATTCTACAGAAAGGATGATCAAACTTGATTTCATGGAGGGCCGGATCAGCATTGTAGTTGTCCGGGGGGTGGGGGAGAAACGGGAGGGTGGCCGAATGGACATGGCCAGCTTGACACGTAGGTCGAAAGGCCGGTAAGTGCAGCCATCCTGGAAATGGTAAGGGGCCAGCCCGCGTCGCTTCAGCCCGGCCCATCTCATCCCGGTGGGTGCACATGCAGGAGGCGGGCGCACCAGTAGTGGTATGCTACCGGTTTGGACCGGTTCAACTGAACCTGTTCCTCCCGACGATCAGCTGAGAGGATAAAAGTGACAAGCTCATGGGCAGGTGGGAGGGTCGCTCCTAGCTTTTCGTTTCTTCATCCTCTCAGCTGATTGGTGTGTTAGGGGCACACGCGCAATCACCCACCGAACTGGTAGCGACCAAGGTAGGAACCCACTACTGGGGGCCCAAGTACTCACAGGCCCCACCTACCCCATTCCAGTATGCATGTGTGCCTGCCTCCTGTGCGCACATGCGCGTCCCCCGGGATAGGATGGCATGGGCCAAAGTGATGTGGGTCGGCCCCTTACAGTTTCCAGGATGGATACGCAGGCCGGATCTCACCATATCGCAGGCTAGATCTGGCCTGCGGGCCTTGAGTTTGAACCCCGCCCCCCATTCTACAGGTAGTCCTCGACTTACAACTGTTCATTTGGTGACCGGTTACAACGGCACTGAAAAAAGTGACTTAGGACCATTTTTTACACTTAACGACCGTTGCGGCATCCCCTTTTGGTCAAGAGATCAAAATTCAGATGCTCAGCAACTGGTTCGCATTTATCGTCATGGCCTGGGTTCACGTGATCCATTTTTTTGCAGGAATCCGGATTCCCTTAATGAACGGGTGAGGGATGCAGGGATTCGCTTACTAACAGTGGCAAGGAAGGTCATAAAATGAGGCCAAATTCACTTAAGTGTCTCGCTTAGCGATGGAAATTCGGGAGGCAATTAGAGATAAATTGAGGACTGTTAGGGATAACATTGTTTACCCTAACTGGTTTGGGTAAAAATAATAAATAAGGAATCATGGTTTGTCAGATAAAGTGTATGTGACTTTAAGCTAAAGGAATGTAATTAAGGGTGCAGCTGTAAAAGTACTATATAAGCAGCAAGGCACTCTCTGGCTCTTACTGGCTGGCTTATTGAAGACTGCGTTCTTGCTGAATCGGGAAGGAGAAGAAGTGTTGGATTACTTTGAAGATATTTCTCAACGGAGAGAAGATAAGTTTTGGACAGATTTATTATATGTGTACTGACACTGGCTATTCGACACGGACTTTGCAATTAGAGTATCCCCGACAAGACTTGACTGAAATTGATATATGACTAATGGACCGTTATTATGACTATGCTATAATTCTTAAATGGAATAAACAATATTTTTGATAGCACAAGCGTATCTGTATTTTTACTGCGTGTTAACTAGAAAACTTATCTCACACATTTACCTGTCTTCCTATCTGACTTCGCTGCACGTTCTGTTTAGTTTGTTTTCCTTAACACCCGTTACCGATTATGTCCCTAAAGACTCAAAAACAAACAGTGGGAGAAGCGTACCCCACCTTACTCCAAGCAAATAAATCTCTTTGCTTGAAGGGCCAACAATAAGAAAATGAAAGTAAATTAACACTTGTGTCCTAAAGGACAGGCAGGGGTAATTCTTCAAGATATTAAAAAAGATGTTGAGACTCTAGAAAAGAGGCAGAGAAGAGCAACAAAGATGATTAGGGGGCTGGAGGCTAAAACATATAATGAATGGTTGCTGGAACTGGGTATGTCTAGTTTAATGAAAAGGACTAGGGGGGACAGGATAGCAGTCTTCCAATATCTCAGGGGCTGCCCCAAAGAAGAGGGAGTCAAGCTATTATCCAAAGCACCTGAGGGCAGAACAAGAAGCAATGGGTGGAAACTAACCAAGGAGAGAAGCAACTTAGAAACTTCATAACATTGAGAACAAATAACCAGTGGAATAGCTTGCCACCAGAAATCACGGGTGCTCCATCACTGAAGGTTTTTAAAGAGAAGCCTGGACAGCCCTTTGTCAGGAATGGTATAGAACAGGGGTGTCAAACTCAAGGCCTGAGGGCCGGATCTGGCCTGTGGGGTGTTTAAATCCGTCCTCAGGTGGCTAAAACAGGCCATGTGCCCCCCGTACCTCGTTTTCACCCTCCATGGCCTCCTGCAGCACTCTGCCAGCTGAAACCAGGCAGAAAAACGGGCTGAAAATGAGCCGAAAAATGGACCCAAAGCAAGCTGATAACATGCCAAAAAACCAGCCAAAACAGGGCTGAAAATGGGCCACATGGCCCATTTTCAGTCAGCAGAGTGCTGCGGGAGGCCATGAAGGGTAAAAATGAGGGGCGGGGGGCTGTGCACGGACCCCCATGCCCCGTTTTGGCCCACAGGATGAGACAGGAAGCATATGCCCGCCCCCCCCCCACCCTCCCCCGCCACCCACCACAGAGGAAAACTACAATGCTGATCAATCACGGCCCTCAAAGAAACCCCCAGTATATAATCTCCTGCTTGAGCAGGGGGTTGGACTGGAACAGTGGTTCTCAACCTGGGCAATATCCCCTTCTGGACCCAGGAATGCACCTCGGCCAGCTCCTTCTTCTGCTCTTCCGTGAATCTGGGCTGTTGCTTCTGCAGCTGCTTCAGTTTCTCACGATCCTCTTGCAGGACAGTCTCCATGTCCCTGTGGAAGACAAGACAGCGGACAAGTGGGTCAGAAATGCCGGTTGATCTCTCTCTATGGGGCCAGAAGCGGCACTCATGGCACCCATTCCCCAAACTACGACCAAAATTAAAGCAAACAACCCCCCCTCCAGGATCCCAGCATCCTCTTAACGATAACAAGAAAAGCAGCGTTGGTTTTCTTCTCTCTCGGGAGAATCCTAAAAACCTTTATCCCAGGAGAATTGAGCGGGTCTGAAATCCAGCCATGGAAAAGGCCTCACCTGGTGGGCAGCTGATAGGTCATCATGACCTTATCGTCGGTGTTGGCCATCAGCAACCAGATGGGATCCTGGAGGACATATTTCATGAAGTGTTCGTTGTCCTCTGCCTTGGATCGCTTCTTGGCCCGTAAATCGTTCTCAGACGAGTCAACGCTGCCAAAGTATTTGCTGGTGTTGCTACTCTTGCTGCTGGTTGCAGGAGAGGAAAGGAGGGAAGCTGGTTGGATACAGGAAAGTCCTTCCGGTACCGTGAACCAGACAAAGGCACCCGGTAAGCGAGGAACTGCTGGTGAAAATCTCCTAGTAGCCACCTCAAAGCCATGATTTTCATGGCTTTCCTGCTAGGGCAAGGGTCAGCAACCCGTGGCTCTGGAGCCGCATGTGGCTCTTTCATATCCCTCTGCTGCGGCTCCTTCACTGGTCGGCTCCGCAAGTGATAGGGCTTTCGGTTAGGACAAGTAGAGGAAAAAGGACGCCGCGCTAGGAGGAGACTATGGTGGGGGAACCAGACTTTCACTCGGCTCCAGAATTGAACTTCCACAGTTAGGACCTTTGTAGCTCTTTTGAGTGTTTAAGGTTGCCAACCCCTGTTGCTAGGGAAAGCTCTGGATTTCTGGTTCCGAAAAGGAACCCAGCTGATAACAAAGAGTGGGCCACTCACCCAGATCCTCTCCCATGCAACCCGGTTGCTGGACTTACTGGTCCCGCTGGCAGATGTGCTCTCCCCATTGGAGCCCGAGCCCATGGAGCCCGAGGCGGCCGACCCTCTGCCGGAGCGCGAATCTTCTTGAAGGAGGAGATCCAGGAGGTCACTGGAGCTGGACAAAGCGTCATTGTTGGAGGAATCATGAGCTTCCACCTGGAAGGGGTTGATGGCCCAAGGTTAAGACCAGGAAAGAGTGTCCTTTCCAAGAGCAGGCTCCTTTCTGGAAAAACCCGGAGTCGCCCCTGTTCCTACGGCTGCTGCACCCTCCCTGCAGCTCTCATCACAACCTCGATCTACTCATCTAGCTCACATTGGAGCAAAACTTTCCAGTTAAGAATCTCACAAGGTTAAGTCCTGGATTTGGACTATGCAACTCCCAAGAACAGGGGTGTCAAATTCAAGGCCCGTGGGCCCGATCCAGTCAGTGTGGAGGGCTTAGATCTGGCTCGCAGGCCGCTCTGGAAACAACAAAGGACTGGCCCGCAGTGCCTCTGCAAGTGAAAATGGAGCCCAGGGGGCCTCCCCAAGCTCCATTTTCGCTGGCAGAGGGCTGCAGGAGGCTGTCGCAGCTAAAAACAGAGCCCGGGAGGGCCGCGCTTCCCCAAGCTCAGTTTTCACTTGCAGAGGCTGCAGGACGCCGTCGCGGCTGAAAATGGAGCCCAGGAGGGGCCACACACAGCCCCCCAAGCTCCATTTTCACTGGCAGAGGGCTGCAAGAGGCTGTTGTGGCCTAAAACACAGCCCAGGAGAGCCACGCCTCCCGGAGCTCAGTTTTCACTTGCAGAGGCTGTAGGACACCATCGCAGCTGAAAACGGAGCCCAGGAGGGCCACACACAGCCTGTTGTGACCCAGGCTTTGTCAAATGTAATTAAACACAAACTTATTTTAAAAGCAAAACCTATTTTATCACAACGCTGGGAATTGCTTTCATTCTCAGCCAGAACATATCTTAAACAGTCCCCCAAGATAAGCACATGCCTTTCAGTTTTGTGGAATGCTGCCAAAAGCAGAAGTATCCATTTAATTATAACAGAAACCAACTGAAGTACCAGAAAAAAACGACCAGAATACAGAGCTTCAAGAACTCAGAATCTATCAAACTACTTTGCTTCCTGCAAAGATTTCATCGAGGTCTGACTTTTATCCCTTATGGGAGGGGCAATCACCTCCCAGCCTTACTCCAGAGTTGCCCCTACTGCTTCAGCTGCTTTCGCCTTCTAGCAGCTCTGCGCATACGTGCACTGGGAACAGGCTTCCCTGGGTCCTCTGCTTCGCTGCTGCCAGACTCCGAAGGCAGCACCCCACTTCCAGATGGTCCTGGCCCCACCCCTGCATCGAACGCAGGACCATCGTCCAAGTCCTCTCCAGACTCCCTGACTGGTCCCCTTTCTTCCTCATTGTCCGACTCCACTGCCATCTGCACCGGCTGCCGGCGAACCGCAACACAGCCCCGAGCTCTATTTTCATTGGCAGAGGGCTGCAAGAGGCTGTCGCGGCCTAAAACAGAGCCTCGATGAGTGATGTCAAGCTGGCCACACCCACCCCGTGAGATCAAACACAACCCTGATGCGGCCCTCAATGACATTGAGTTTGACACCCCTGTCCAAGAATGAAACTAGGACCGACTCGTTGCCAGGATTGGAGGCATCTCAGTGGCCAAAGGAAGGACAGGACATCCTGCGGCTACCGATTGCCGCCAGGAGAACTCTGCTCGGAGGGACAGAGAGCCCTTTAGCCTCGGGGGCCCGCTTACCATGCAGGCTTCCTTCAGAGGGCCGAGTTCATTCCCCAGGCCCTGCCCGCCGGTCACTCCAAACCAATCCGCTGAGGTGCCAGCTGGTGCCGCCTGACTGCTCAGGACGGCTTCTTGCCGCTCGCTCGGCTTGGGCAGCTCTTCCATCTGGAGCAGGTTCAGCTGCAAGGGGGAGCTGCAGCGTGACTCAAAGAGGGGCGATTCGGCCTGCTCAGTCTGGCTCGAGTGTGGGGTGGAAGAGCGGGAGGGGACCTGCAGGCCGGCTTCGGGCCCTGGAGCCAGCATGCTGCCGCCCAGCAGCGGAGGCCCGAAGGGGAAAACAGGACTCCTGGGAAAGTACGTCTGGGGGAGGGGGTTGCTGATCTGGGGGAAGATGTAATTGGGTAGGACGACGGCCACCATGGGGGCGACGAGGGGGGGGGAGAACTGAGGGACCGGCAAGGGGTTGTGCAAGGGCTCGGTGGCCGGGAGCGCAGTGGGGCAAGGAGGAAAGACGGGGATGGGGTAGGTGGGCATAATGGTGGGGTAGGACATGTTTGGGAGGGTGGGCAGGAAAGGGCCAAAGGGGGCCCAAGAGGCGGCAGCTGGGGGACAGGGCAGCTGTGGTGGTGAGCCAAGAGAGTTCTGGGGGGAGCTAGTGCTGTCCGACAATTTGTTCTGGCTGATGCGTTTGGCCTTGGACTTCCAGCTGTGTCCCTGTCCGTTTGGCCCGCGAGGTCCCTGGCGCAGGCCTCTGGATCCTGGGGAAGTGAAAGAGAAAGAACAGGAGGGAGGAGGAAGAGGCAGGAATAAGGAGGAGCCTAAATGAAGATTCAACCATCCAGGCCAATCTTAAAAGGCCTAAATTATGGCCACTGAACCAATGAACTTTGGTCCATTTACCGTAATTTAGTCTTTTAAGAATAAAGAGCAGGTAGAAGGCGGAGTAAAGAGGAAGGAAGAAGAGGGAAAGAGGAGGACTGAGGGGTCATTGTTGTTCTCTGGGTTACATCATTTTCTTGCAGACGTTTCGTGACCCAACTAGGGAACATCATCAGTGCTACAAAGGCGTGGGGTTTGCAGAGAGGAGGAAGAAGAGGAGGAGGAGGGCAACGACTGTGGAGTCCTTGTTGTTCTCTGGGTTAGGTCATTTTCTTGCAGACGTTTCATGACCCAACTAGGGAACATCATCAGTGCTAGAAGGGTGTGGGTTTGGGAAGAGGAGAAGGAAAAGAAGGAAGGAGGAAGAGAAGGGGAAAAGAGAGAGAAAAAATAGGGGGATCCACCCCGTGTCTTCTCCCCCCCTTCTCACCTCGCTGGTCCTGGGCCTGGGGGTGGTGCTGCTCCAGCCAGTTGAGTCTGGAGGGGGAGTTGATGATGTGCAGCTGGCTGAGGTCCTTGAAGCGGGTGAGGAAGGAGTGCTCCTCCTTCTGGGTGTGGATGGAGAGCACTTCCTTGGTCAGGCCCACCCGGCGGTACTGTGGCTCCCGGTCGGGGTTCACGCTGGGCGCCGTCTCTTCCATCATGATGATGTCTGGGGAGGGGGGAAGTGGAGAGGAAGAGGAGGAAGCACCCAAACAAGGGGAAGCGAAGACGTCAGCCTTTCCATCCTCCAGGAGGGGGAAAAAATCCTCCCTATTTACACTGGAAATAAGCTACTCCTCGACTTAACCCCAATTAAATCACAAGTCTCGAGCCAAATTTCCAAAACTTCCAAAGGATTGGGAGTTAACAGGTCCGGCACTGCCTGGGTGTAGCCGACTCTGAGACACATCATTCATTGTCACCCTTGACCCTGGTTTTCCCCTCCACCCCCTGGGTGTATCATCATTCATACTCTCCAATGAGGCACATCCATAGCCAAGAGTCATCAATCATGTTCTCCAGTTAGAATTTTGCACAGCAGAAACTTCAGTCACCTACTTACTACCGTGTTTCTCATATAATAAGGCCGGGTCTTATTTTTTTTTGAGCCCCGAAAAAAACGGCTAGGCCGTCTTTTCAGGGGTGACTTAATTCCCCCCCTTGCATCTTAGGGCAGGTGGCGACGGCTTGGATGTTGACCTCGGCGTTGGTGGGGCACTTTGTATCAGGGTCAATGCAGGCAGCACCATATCCGGGTGTGCAACAAAAGTACTTCCTAACAGCAAGCCCCCCCGCCATTTCCCCCCCATTTCACATGTTTTAATATAGGTCTTAATTTGGGGGGAGGGGCTTAATTTCATTTCATGCCTATAAAACATGCTGGGACTTCCTATTGGGGGAGGCCGTATTGTTGGAGAAACAGGGTATCTTTGAAAACATTTATGAAATGCACTTTCGCTTTCCAAGCTGCCGCACTGCTCTTTCAAACCCCTCCCCCCACCTTTCTGTTGGCAACTCTAAAAAGACCATAGAAATATTTTGAGTTGACACAGTGGTTACGTGAGCAAACGCGGGCGTTCGACAAATCTGGTTCCCCCCAAAAGTCAGAAAGAAGGTCACAAAAAGGGATGGAGGGACCCCAGGCGACCATCATAAGGACGAGTCAGGTGGCCGAGCGTCTGAATTTTGATCACATGACCATGGGGGGGAGGGAACACTACAAGGGTTGAGTGTGTGGAAAAAATGATCCCAAGTCGCTTTTTTTCCTCCCAGTGCCATCGTCACTCGGAGCGGTCACTAAGCAAATGGTCGTAAGTCGAGGACTACCTGGACACGTTTCCCCGTTCAAACTGTCTTGAATTTAAAGAATTGGCACCTGATCTGGAGATACTGACAGAGATTTTTTTCCTTGCAGGTTTTTCGCCAAGGAAGGAAAATTAGGGAGTCCGTTAAACAGAAAATTATCTTGACGTATAAACGGCTCACTTTGCGACCGTTTGAAGTTGTGATAGACAGACACACACACAAACCCCCCAAAAAAGTTGCTTATGGCACAACTCTGAACTTCCAAAAGCCAGCTTCCCAGAAAAATTGGTGTTTTACTTCTGGTTTCTGCCCCCCCCCCCCCCCCCGCAAAAAACCCCACCCCACAGCCTCATGACCATCGCAAAAAAAAAAGTCATAAAATGAGGTCATTGAGATGAAGCCCACTCCCATCTTAAACCTTGTGGAGGTTGAAAAACACCAAATTAGATTATCGTAGGGGGTATGAGTTGGAAGCGACCTTCTGGGTCATCTACTCCAACCCCCCCGTTCATTATAGGACCAATCACTTCCAATAATTTCTAGTGTTTTTATTTTAATACTTTTTATATTGTATTTTATCTAATATTTTATCTAATGTTTTTTATATTTTATTTTATCTTAATAGTTTAATTTATTTTTGTTAAGCCACCCAGAGTCGTTGGCTACCAGGCTGGCGGAAAATAAACACCAGAAATAAATAAATAAATAAATGGCCAACACACCATCCAGTGGCAATGAGTCCCCAAAGCCAATTAAAAGCGGGGATGCAGGCAAGAGACCACATAAAGAACAGGCACCATTGTGGAGGGCCAAACAACTGTCTGATCTTAATTCTTCCCAATATTAATATTTATAACATATTTATATCATGACAATATTCTATAACCGTTACAATATAAAAATTATAATATTTATTTATAAAAAGCAGCAGATGGTACACTTTTTGGGGATGAGCTGCTACTGGCAAATACAGTTAGTCCTCAACTTACGACCACAACAGAGCCCACAATTTATGCTGCTAAGCGAGACCTTTTGTCAAGTGAACTTTGCTCCATTTTACGACCTTTCTTGCAACCGTGGCGAAGGGCATCTCTCTGCAGTTGTTAAATGAGCCAGTGCAGTCGTTAAGTGAATCTGGCTCCCCTGTTGAAGGTCACAAAAGGGGAGTCGCATGATCTGGGGGTGGGGGATGGGACACGGCCACCATCCTAAATGCGAGTCAGGCATCAAAAGCATCCGAAGGTAAATCCCATCGCAAGCAACGGTCATTTAAAGTGTTAAAAAAACGATCCTAAGATCCTTTTGCCGTTGTAACTTTGAACGCTCACTAAGGAACTGTTGCACGTTGGGGACTATCCTTGCTGACTTAGCAACGGCAGTGATTCACTTAACATCGGCGGCAAGGAAGGTAGTACGATGGGATGAAGCACACTTCAATACTCCTGGCTTATAGCAGCAGAAAATGTGGGTGTCAACTTATAAAACATTCCTATGCCTGTTTTTGAATTGCCGTAAACAAGGGGGGGCAGAGAGCAGTCATGAAAATCCTTTATTGGAGAACGTGATTGACGACACCCAGCCTGTGAACGTGCTTCATTGGAGAATTTGATTTATGGTACACCGGGGGGGGGGGGGGGGGGGGGGGGGGCCGAGGGTCACAGGTGACTGTGAATTATGTATGTTGGAGTTGGCTTCATCTAGGTTAATGCCAACATGTTGCTCCTAATAAATCTTTTGAATTTTTTTGAAGCTTGGCTCGAGGCTCATGATTTAATTAGGGCGATCGTCAGAACCCTGACACTGGGGCTCAATTGTGCTCGTAAGCTGAGGATTACCTGTACAGGTAATTATTTATATTTCATTTCTAATTTCCAATTTACCTCCCCCGGGGGCTGGACAGAGAAGTCCAAAGGGCCAGTTGTCCCCCCCACAAAATACCCACATCTCTCATGAAGACCCTTCCTCCCCCTCCCTCCCGCCCGCCGCCTGTCCCCCCTTTCCCGGCACGTATCCCTTCACCTCCCCTTCCAAATACCCCCAGCCTGGCGCCGGCCCCCCGCCCCGCCGCCGGCCTGGATGTTTGCAAAAAGGGTGGGTGATCCACCTCCCCTACCCGACTCCGGGGGTTTCTTGTCTCCCACGTGGACGATGGTACTGCTGAAGCTGCACTGACTGTTCACAGACACCACGCTCTCAGCTTTGCTAGTGGGCAAGGCCAGCGGAGTGAGAGGGCTTCCCACCATGGCAGTGGCAGCCACCGCTGCCCCAGTTTCTTCCCTGTTGGGCTGTCTCTCTGTGGCCGGCAGCCTCTCCTCAGGCACATCTGTCCAAAAAGAGGGCTGGATTAGAACTTGAGGCAGGAGGCAGGGGGGTGTCCCAGGACTCCTGAGATGTGCGGACCAGCAGGACGGATGGAGAGAGAGAGACCTGGCAATGCCAAAATTCCTGTTGAGGCAGCCGCGGGGGCAGCCAGAAAGAGCCACCCCCCAACACCATGGGGAGACCTCTTCCGAGGAAGCCACCAGCAGCTCCGAGGGAGCCTGGGCAGGAGGAGAAGCAAAACCACGTATGAAGGAACAGGAGAGAGTAGTGGGGAAGAGCGGGTGGTGGGGAGAGTGGGAGGAGTCGGATCACGGAGTAGCCCAGGAAGGGGGGGCGGGGGGGGGGGGGGCGGCGGGGGATTGGGGGGGGGGGGAGGGAAGGAAACCCACTTTTGCTTTGCGTGGCCACCTGTTGGTGCACTTTCTGCTTGTCGTCGTCCGAATTGGAGGAGGTAGTGTAGGAGGACGAACCGCACTTGCGTTTCACCCAGCTGGAGATGTTATAGCTTTCCAGATATCTGTGAGGAGGGAAAGAAGGGGGGAGATTTGAAAAAGCAGTGGTGTCAGGTGCAGAAGATTAGGTGCACACGTGACAGACTGATTCAACTGCTTTATTGCTGAAAGCAGGAATCTTCTAACTAAACTACTTTATTGCTAGAAGATTATGTGCGGGAATCTTCACAACTAAACTGCTTTGTTGATGAAAAAATGCACAGGAATCTTCTCAAATAATGGTTAGCATCTGCTAGGGGGTTTAGATAAGGGTCCAGAGAATTCAAGGGAGGTTGGACTTAGCTTGCTTGTGGCTACGTAGGGATTCTTGCCTGATTCCTCTTTTGACTCCATCCCCACACCCTCGGACACTTTCTCCTGCAAAAATTGCTAAACAAGTCAGATAAAACTTTCTCTTTTGGAGGAGTGCAGAACTCCGGGCTGAGCTGCCCTTTTCTCAAAGGGGAGGACAGAAATTGAGCACTTGGCTAGGCCGGGGATAGGAAGGAGCAGGTGGGGAAGGAAGGAACTCAGGCAGTTCTCCAAAGATTGACCGCAAAAATCCGCCTCAAAATGAGAGCACCGGCCAAAGCCTTACCGGATAATGCCGTCCAGGCAGTTGATCTGCTGGTAGGAGTAGTTGGAAGGCTCCTTCCGTATCGAGTCCTCGGAGGTGGCTGCCTTGCCCGACCTCTTCTCCACGTCCCTCAAGGTCTCCCTTGACTGCCCTGTGTGACTGATGGGTGGATCCAGAGCTAGAAAGGGAGGGCAGAGGAAGAGCAACCTTGAGCAGGGAAGGTAAGAAGCTTCCCCAGACCACAAGGCAGGTGGAGGAAACCCCCAGGGGAGTTTTGCAAAAAAAAGAGAAAATGACCAGGATGAAGGCACTGCAGTGGCTCATGGGTTTGTGTGTACAATGAGGGGAGGAGGAAGGGGAGGAAGGAGAAGAGATGATGAAGCAGAAGAAAGAAAATGGCAAGAAGAAGAGGAGGAGAAGAAGGGATGGAGGAGAAAGAAAGGGGAAGGAGGAGAAGGAGGGCAAGAAGAAGGGATGGAGGAGGAGGAGGGATGGAGGAGGAGGAGGGATGGAGGAGGAAAAAGGGGGAAGAAGGAGGAGAAAGAAAAGGGCAAGAAGGGATGGAGGAGGGAAGGAGGAGGAAGGGAAGGAGGAAGGAGAAGAAAAGGGCAAGATGGGATGGAGGAGGAAGAGGAGGAGGAGGAAGATTAGTGCCCCCCCCCTTACCTGTCCGAGAAGGTTTGATGGGCAGCGGCTTGACCCAGGACTCGATGAAGACCTGCTGGCCCTGGTTCCTCACCATGTGGACATCCTTGCAGATCTCCTGGAATGTCATCTGGGATCCAGAGGGAGGCGGAGTCAGAAGAGCCCCCGTCCCCCCAGAGCCTCCCCTCCATCGGGACAGGCTACACCCCAAAACCACGTTCCATATTTTGTGGGAGACCTTCCTCAACCCCCCAGGATAGGATCTTTCGGGGGTCCCACGTCCCCCGAGTTGGGCGGAAGGGGCTGGGACTCAAGAGAAGCTGAATTTCGGGGCTCCTTGGGCTGGACCTCCCACTGCCCGGATAGAGGACCCGCCCTGCCCCCTCTCTGTTTACCGGCCAGAGGGCCTGGGCCTCCTCTGGGGGGAAGCCGTTGCTGTTGCTGGAAGAGGTGATACTCAAGAACTGCTTGTGGGAGGCCGAGTTGCTGCAATGGCCCAGGGCTCCACTGCTGTGCACCGGCTGCCCAAGGAGAGAGGAGCAGCAGCAGCATTAGAGCCGGGGGAGGGGAAAAAGGGAGGGAGGGAAGAAAATGGGGAGGGAAGGAAGGAAGGAAGGAGGCAGAAGGTTGGAAGAGGAAGGAAGGAAGGCAAAAAAGGAGGGAAGGGAGAAGAGGGAGGAAGGAAGGAAGGAAAGGGGGAAGGAAGAAGGAAGCACAAGGGTGGAAAAGGAAGGAAAGAAAGCGGGGAAGGAGGAAGGGTAGAAAAGGAAGGAAAGAAAGGTGGAGGGAGGAAGGAAGAAAAAGGCAGAAGGGTGGAAGAAAAAGGGAGGAGGAGGAAGGGTGGAAGAGGGAGGAGGGAAGAAAGGAAGGAGAGGGGGAGGGAAGAAGGGAAGGAGAGGAGGAAGGGAGAAAAGAAAGAAAAAATGGAGGGAGGAAAGAAAAAGAGAGAGAAAGAGAGAAGGGAAGGGGAAGGAGGCAGGAAGGAAGGAAGCAGGCAGAAGGGTGGAAGAGGGAGGGAGGGAGGAAGGAAGGGACAGAAGAGGGAAAGGGCTTACCTGCAGCAGCAGCCGGTGAATCTGCTCGGACAGCTCCTGAATGTCCACCTCCAGGACCTTGGACTTCAAGACTTTGGGGGCGGTGAAGACATCCTCATTGAGGGGACCCCTGAGGTCAACCAGAGAGGAGATGAGGAGGAGCCCATCTCACACGTGCACCCCCTTCCTGAAGCCCCACCCAATTCCGCTTCCTGTTTGGACGTTGGACCTGTTTCCAGCCACTCTCCCTCCTCCTTCCTCTCGCATCCCATCTTCCCCCTCCCTCCCTTGGTCCTTGCTCCCCTGCCAGCCTGCTTGAAGACAGCTGGACTTCAACTCCCAGGATTCCCCCAGCCAGCATTGGAACCCTGGCTAGGGAATCCTGGGAACTGAAGTCCACCCCACCCCATCTTCAACCCACCCAAGGTTGAGAAAAGCGGACTCTTGCAGCCATTCTGGCCATCCAGATGACCTTCTCTGGCCCTATCTTGGAAGTCAACCTCTCCTCCCCGCACGATAGGCTCCACCCCTCACCCCTCCCTCCTTATTCTAAGCTCCTCCCACTCTCCCGGAGGCGGAGCCCTACCCACCTTCTCCTGCTCTCAACCAATGCTTGCCCTGATGAAGAGCTTACCTCCGCCCGCCACATCCAAACTCCCGCACCCCCCCCCCCAAGAGCAGGTTTCGCACTTACATCCGCACTTTGTGCCTGCCCATGATAAACGAGACTTTGCGACTCCAGGGGTTGACAAAGCTGGACCAGCTGGTGTCGATGGTGATGTATTCGCCGTTGCGGGCACAGAAGCGGATGGGTGAGTGGTCGAACGGCTGGCCGGCGTATTGCAGGACTGGAAAAGGGGGGAGGAAGAAGGGGAGGGGGGGTCAGTGTCAGCGACCACTAGGCCAAACTTCCCTGGTACAGATGGTCCTCGAATGACAACCCTTAATTGCAACCAGAATTTCCACTGCTGACCAAGGCGGTCATTAAGTGAATCGCGCCTGATCTTCTAACCTTTTTCTTTTTTTTTTTTTGGGGGGGGGGGGGGGGGGGGGCTGGTCGTTAAATAATTTGCTGTGGTTGTTAAAGTGAACCAAGCTGTCGTTAAGCAAATCCAGTCACCCTTATGATGTTGCCGGCTGGGAAGGTTATTAAATGGCCATCACAAGGTTGCCACAGTTGTAGCTACCATAAGCACTAAAGGCTGTGGGGATGGCACAATGGCCGCAACGGTGAGGACCGGTTGTAAATCAAATCCTCCCCCTCCCCCC